TCTCTCTCTCTCTCTCTCTCTCTCTCTCTCTCTCTCTCTCTCTCTCTCTCTCTCTTCTCATCACCCCGATGCGCGCAGTCCGTCGCCCCACACCCACACACAGTTGTCACCCCGCTTGATCCAAGCATGCAAGCCAGGTTCGCCCGTGTGTCACAGTCCGTCGCGGCCCCACGTCAACCCCGCACGCTTAGCATCAGCTCGTTGGATTGCCCGACTCTCTACTCACCTGCCAACTTCCGCTCGTTAGCTGATCCTCTCGACCGCGCTAACTTCCAAAGTTCTTAGAGAGGGAGTTAATCGCGCTTACGAAATTTATAGCATGCATGATGCATGCGTGTGCGCGCGATACCCGAGATCGTGTATGAGTACGGGAAAGAAGGAGGAAGGGAGTGCCTACGCTTGCATGGCCAGACTGCGGCGTGGGGGACGTAGCCACTCTCAACACATCGATCCGGTCATGCATGTGTTCAGGCCAATAGGACAGAGGAAGAAGTACGCGCGCACGGGGGTGCCACAAAGATATCAAGAACGAGAGGATTACAGTTGCAATTATGCCCGCCAAAACCGGAATTACAGTTACACGCAAGGATTAAGGCGCGGAAAAATCAGAATGCAGATCCTGACGCAGCAAGTCGTGTGCAAGCAAGAAGCGTTGTGCATCAGAAATTGAGGTGCGCCTAAATTCCTAATTTAAATCCTAATTGCAAAAAGAAAATCCTAACTTTTTGGGACCGTCTCCGCCACGGAGGGATTTCCCCATAACCCGTCGACCACAGTGTCCCGGCCCCTTCGGACCATGAGACCCTTGCGCGCGCATCCCTCATTCGCCTAGTTGCATTCATACCCTTAAGACTCCCCCACTTTCCCAAAAATCCTTGGCACACCCCTTTTTGCACTTCCAGACCCACATCCCACTCCGATCAGGAAGTCGCGCTGGGCGTGAGGTTGGTATCGGAGCCCGACACGTGGCTAGGGTCTTAGGATTGATAGCACGTTAATTAGGCGACCTGGCTAACCGTGGGCGACCTCGCCCTCGGAACGCGCATAGACGCGACCCTATCGTCACCAGAAGCAGAACGGCTAACCAACGAGCAGCCAATATGGCTGCTAACGTGCAAAATCCGGTTCCGCAACAAAATGCTAATTTACCTAATCAACCTGCCTCACGTGCACGGGCTCCCATGTCGCCACCAGATCTCTATCTATTAGATCTGGCGCATCGTCTCGTGGGAGCATGGCTGGCTACGCTTAGAGCACAGCAGTACGATGATCACAAATCATAGATCAACATTCCGGCTCGAATGGGAGGAGACACTCATCATTGGTATAGTACCTATGTATGGGTGGATCTCCTGACCTTCGAACGAGATTTCATGAACCGATTTGATTACGTTCACCCTGAGCAGGCATTGTACATGATCAAGGACCGAGTGCAAAAACCGCTCGAATCCGTTGCGGAATATCGAAACCGGTTCTACAGGATGTTCGTAAAAATTGAGCGAGGTGAGCAAGTAGGGAGGGATCTATTCATTGACGGACTCCGCAGTCGAACAATAAGGACTAAGTTGTGAAAGCAGTTTTCCCCCATCACTCATACGCTACAACAAATTATGGCTGCCGCGGAAGAAATGGAACGGAAGTTCACAGCGAACTTCCTGGAAGGAGAAGACTACCCTAGAGACGGAGATTTGACCGAGCTCGCACGAGCGAGAGCAGAACTGGTTGCTTTGCAGAACAAATTTGAAAACATGGGATTTGTATCAGGACCTGTCACCTATATGGAACAGATAGGCCCCAAACGAGCARTTCTAAGTGAGACTCCGAGCATCTCTGCTCCTATGATGCCCCCGCCCRTCAGGGCATTACCCCCGCCGCCRGTTGAGGCTCCTRTACGATCAAACGAATCRGCGGCCATTTTCGAACTAACCAAAACTTYGATYAGTTTGATCCAAGAAAGCAAAAAGGAACAGCGAGAGCACAATGCTCGGCTRGAAGCCATGATSAGGAACATGCGACCTATTGCGGTGCGTGCCCCTCCGATGCAACAAGGATTAGCCCCCGCCCCTGCTCTCGGAGGAGCTGCGAACAATCTGAATGTTTGTTATGCCTGTCATCAGCCCGGGCATCTAGCCCGTGATTGCCCCCACCGACCCCCGCAACAGCGGATCGGAGTCGCACCTATGGTTGCGGCCCCCATCGCCAATGGACCTGGACGAGTCGGAGCCTTGATGGAAGAAGTAGAGGGTGGGGGAAGTGCCTTGGCCACCACGGAAGAGGCTGCTGAGCTAATTCCGCTAGATCAGTATGTGTCGCTGGGATATCCTGGACTAGGAATGATCGGAACAATTAGACCAGCACCAGAACCGAAAGAAGTGGCGGAGTGGCGACCGTCCTTAGGAGAAATGGAGTCGGGAGGACCCACTTTTGTCACAGGAGAAATCGATGTATTAAACATTATCCGAGCTTTGGACCATCGGATTCCACTACCGATCGGTCATCTACTCTTGATCTCCGAGCAAGCCAATGAGCGAATGCTACAACACTGCAAAGCAAACCGAAAGCGATTTGCCCTCGCCCGAACACCAAGTGCCAAAGCCAAGGGCCCCGCGCCGGAAGAAAACCCAACAAGCACTCCGGACCCAATACGGGTGGGATTAATTATGAAAGACGATCACTTTTTACGGATTAAACCGATTCCATGGAAGTCCGCGGAATGTGATATTGAAATTTGGGGAATTCCTTACAACGCGATAATAGATTCATGAGCAGTTGTGTTGGCTATCTCACTAAGGGTGGTCGAAAGAGCTGGTAGGAAAAATGACCTGATCATGCTCACCGAGAAAGATCAGCTCGTTTCGGCAGATGAGGAGAAGATTAAAATTGTGGGGAGAATGACCAATGTCGCCTTCCGATTAGGAAAAGTACACGCGCTTGGGGATGTCGTAGTACTAGATATTAATACGTACGACGTTCTTTTCAGACTTCCTGCTCTTATGGCGTTACGAGCAAACCTGGACTTCGAACGACGATCGATCGTCCTCCGAAATACAGGAGGAAAACCCTACGCGGTGCCCATGCGATTGACCCTTTGCACTACTATTAACGCGGTTCCGCGGGTTTCGCCGATGATGGGGGGGACTCTCTGCATGATCTCCTGGGACGAACCTGCGAAAGGGGAGCCATCAACTGATGATGCGGAAAGCAGTGACGAAGATGATCTGGAAATTTTGAAATTGGTACAACAACGCGTTTATTAGTATTTATTACCCGCCGCCCAGAACGATAGCGAGAACAATGCAACTGACCAGCCGAAAAATTCAAAGGACCAAGGCGATGATCTTGGGAGAGCCCCTCATGCAGATTTCGAGGATGGTCGACTCTTTGGAACCCCCTCAAACTCTGTACGAAGGGATCACCCCTCTCCTCGCCAGGTATAGCGATAAAAAAACATTATTGCGACATTACGGAACTACCTAGGTCTTTACTAACAATGGCTAAAGAAGTGAGATTGCTACGCCTGGGGGCGGAAACCAGCTTTCTGGAACCCCCTGGGCGTTTTGAAGCAGAAACAGATGGGTTGGGGATAAAGATTGCAACCAAGGAAGTGCCATGGCACGATGTTTGCGACGGGATTACGCCGGAAGGACACGTGGCAATCCGGGAAGAAGATGCCCAGATGATGGCCACGGTGTTCTCCTGGCGATCAGATCATTCATTCATCTCGGCGCCTCCACCCGACTTGACAAAACAGGCGACTACAAAACAGATTGACGTTCGGATTTGGGACCAACTTTTTGAACTGCACGTTCCACAATATGTGCCGGATGAAATTCACCGGGTGATCGCGGATATTCTAACAGAATATCAAGGAGCGATTAGTGTGTCAGACACTGACATCGGGTTGTCGTTAATAATCCAACATGAAATTCAGACAGGAAATCACTCCCCGATTCATTGCAAACCCTATCGGTATTCTCTGATTGAACGCAAAAAGGCTCTTGAATGAATTCAGGAGTTCGAAGCCAGTGGTTGGAGTACGAAGACAGGAAATCACTCCCCGTAGTATTAATACCAAAGAAAAACGGGGCGATTCGCATTTGCATTAATTATCGAAAGCTGAACGAAATCACGATCAAAGATGTGTATCCCCTCCCCCGGATTGATGATTTGTTGGATGCGATTGGGTGCACTAATTATTTCAGCAAGTTTGATATTCGACATGGCTTCCATCATAGTCTGGTAAGGGAAGAAGATCGACCAAAAACGGCCTTTGTGTTGTTTGAGGGCACGTGGCAGTGGGTTCGGTGTCCGATGGGGATTTGCAATGCGCCTGCCACGTTCTAGCGAGCGATGAACATGACGTTCCAGAATTTTGTCAACAAGACACGACTGGCGCAAGGGATGATCAACTTCTGTGTGATCGTGTACATGGACGACATCCTAGTCTATTCGAAGACCTATCACGGACATGCGCAACACATCGAGTGGACATTGGGCGCACTGAGAGATGCTGGGTTCAAGATTGCGCTCGAGAAAAACGATTTTTTTCTCTCGGAAATTTCGTTCTTAGGCTACGTTGTGACACGTGGGGGATTGCGGCCGGATTCGAGAAACGTTGCGGCGGTGAAGGAAGCCCCGGTTCCCACGTCACTGACGCAGGTTCGATCCTTCTTGGGGCTGGCGTCGTACTATCGGCGCTTCATCAAGGGCTTTGCCGCGATTGCACGACCACTAATGAATCTGTTGTGGAAGGACCAGCCCCTCAGCTGTGACACGGAGTGCCAGCAGGCTTTTGCAACTCTCAAGGACGCTCTGGCAATGGCCCCTATTTTGATTCGACCGGACCCCTTGAAACAGTTCATTCTCATCACGGACTGGCAACCGGAAGCTATTTCCGCTATTTTAGCACGGAAGGGGAACGATGGTTGTGAACACGTCATCGAGTACGCGTCACGAACCGTACCGGACGAACGAAGAAACGACTCCGCACCTCAGGGTGAGTGCTATGCAGTAGTTTGGGGAATCCAACACTTCCATCCGTATCTCTACGGACAGAAGCTTCGGCTCGTAACGGATCACGAACCTCTGCTGGCGCTGAAGAAACTTACCAACTACACGGGCATGATTGGCCGTTGGGCGGTGCGATTACAAGAATACGACTTCGATATCGTCCATCGAAAGAAAGAGCGACACGGCAACGAGGACGGGTTGACACGTCTCCACTGGCCTGCCAAGGTACCAAAGGGTGAGGAAATTACACCGTGGAAGGAGCCGGACTTGACTAACGAGCCGAAATACGGACAAGTGGCAGTTCTTCCACGTGGCAAGAAGTAAAGCAGCGATGATGGGTGATGGAGGTAACCTCACTACCCCTCTCTCTCCCCCTTCCTCTTCGTCTCTCCTCTCCCTGCCTGACAAATTTTGCTATTTTTGTGAAGCTATTTCCCGCGTATATTCGGTCCCCATGCGTCCTAACGGGGAGGGGTATGTGGATTGGATAGATTGTCGACAGTGTGTTGCACGAGCCCATGGTTCGTGCATCCAATACAGAAACGATAGTAGATCATGGTTGTGCCCCTTGTGCCGGACCGACAAGATTCCTACCGAGACTCGATTTTTGGATGCCACGTCAGAAGGATTGGAAAAGACCCGAAAGTTTAGAAGGGCTGAAGTATGGACGGATATTGCCTTAATTGCCACCCTAGTAGGTAATCCCCTCCAGGATTTCACCAAAGAAGATCGGAGGAGGGCCAACGAAAGGGGCTCGGGATTATCGATGGGAAGAGGGTAGATTAGAAAAACGTAAAACGGACGGCAGTGGGATTTGGATGGTAGTGCCGCATCCGTTCATGCGGTATGACTGGGTTAAGACAGCCCACGAGGAAACTGCGGCTCATTTTGCCGTATGAATCACAGAGTCCGCTATGTCAAGTCTTCGCCGCTGATAAAGCGCCAATTCAGCTGCCAAGATCGATAGTGCCCACGGTTGTTGAACGGCCATTTCAAAGAGTGAGCATGGACACCACCGACATAATGGTGCCCCCTGGCCCTAATAGTTGCGAGTATTCAGTCCTACTGGTATTTGTCGACCATTTCTCGAAATGGATCAAAGAGTATCCTTGTCGCACGCGGCAAGCCACGGAAATCGCACGATATGTCAACCGTTTCCTCGGGACGCATCAGGATACGGAGGAAATCAATTCAGGGGAGAAGTGTTAAGGAGTCTGGTCCTACACGGCGTCGCCATACGGAACACTGCGCCTCACATGTCACAGTCCAACGGGCTGGTCGAAAACGCTAACCGGGTGATAAAGACAGCATTGCAAAGAAATATCGCGGCACGAGATCCGAGACCTTGGCCCGATATCGTCAATCACATCCTGGCGGTCCATTGCGGAACGCCCCACGAATCGACGGGGCTAAGCCCCTTCCAATTAAGGACCAATAGTGTCACTTGTGTTTCGATACCGAGCCTCCCAGATGAGACTACATTAAACCGACGGCCCACCAGGGCCACGGCTCGGGACAAGGCCAAGTGACCGAAAATGACCGATCTAGCCCAGGGTTGACAGGTCCGGAGTTACGAAGCTCGAAATGGGAATGCGGGTCCGCGGCCCCAATACAAATTGGGGGACGTGGTGCAGGTGAGGAAATGTGCTCGCCAGGGTAAGCTAGCGCCACGATTCTTCGGGCGATATTGCGTGATCGAGCTCGGCCCCAACGGCGTGGACGCCGTGCGCCTCGCCCCTGAAGTCTCTGGCAGTCGATCGACTCGTCGGATCACACGCCACGTGTCCTATCTTCGCCTCCTTCCCTCTGCTCCGTCTCCCTCTCCCTCGATCTCTCTTTCTGAGGAAGCCGACGACGATAGCTCGGACTCTCCGCCATCTCCCTCCCTTTCTTGCTCCCTCTCTGCCACCCCGTCACCCCCGCCATCGCCATGAGTTTCGCCACCGAGCGAGCTTTCAGTAATCAGTTGCTGATGCCACGGGGAAAGATCTCAGCCATCCGCCAAGTACATCATCTGCGGATCAGCCCCGACTTCATGCGCCTTGCGCAGTTCTTCTGCACTGCGGGTGTATGCGGCGCGGAAGAGTTCCGATTCACGAGCGATCCCCAGGTAGTGGTGTTGGCCGAGGCAATGACGTTCCAACGCCGAGCGGCCCCGGGAATCAGCCACGTGTCTACCGTGGTAGTCTTCAGCGGCGACATCACCGCCTTCGATCCGGCGCGGCAAGCTGCCATCAAAAGCACCTTGTACCGGTGGGGTCGCGATCTGGCCATTGATTGGGATCGACGGCTCACAACGCATGGTGACGAGTGCTATCCTAACGACGACATCGAAGTCAACACGCTGCACACGACGCTACGAGAGCCACCTGCCGTCCTCCCGGAACTTAACCCCTTCCAACCACGCAGATGAGCCGCGCGCCGATCTCGACGTTCTCTCCTCCCTCCCTCTTGCCCATCTTCTGGCAATCCTCTCACTACCCTCGTCTCTCCTTCCGTCTGGAGCCACTGACAGTACCCATCGTTGATCCGGACCGTTGGTGGCTGTGGCGTATAGAATTCGTCGAGCTCTCGTTTTGCCTGCTACGAGTGGATCTGAACTGGACGTGGGAAGGCGATCAGAGACCCGCGTCGGAGATTGTGGAGTTGCTCGTCATTCAGGCGTGGAGGACCAACGTGGTGGGAGATCTTCTAGGATTCATCTTTGGAGCAGTGGATCGGGGAAACCGATTACAGATCGTGCGCGAACTTACGATCGTGATCGCACGATTGGCCGACGAACTCCCCCTCGACATCGTCTCTCAGAGCGACAAAGAACCCGTGCCACATACCCTCTCAAGGACTCTCGCCCCAAGCCTCCAGTGGTCGTCTTGTATCGAGGAGCGCTGGGTGGACGACCGTTTTCCTTCCCGTAGTAAGTACCTGGACGTCCACAGCCTGACTAATCCCCGCTTCTTTCGGCAACCAACGACGTCCGAGTGGGCAGCGCCGAGAGCAGAAGAGGAGGCCGAAGAGGAATCAGAAGGAGAATTGAGGAGAGAGACCGGGGAAGCAGCGGCGCGATTGGCCGAGGACGAGGAAGAAGAGCGCGAAGCAGAAGAAGAGTCGGCGGAAGAAAAAGAAGAAGAAGAAGACGCAGAAGAGGAGACTTTGGAGGAAGAGAAAGAGGCCTATAGCGAGTACAGCGAGGGCGAGCAAAGTGAGGAGGAGGAAGACGACGAAGAAGTGGAAAGCGAGGACAACCAGGAGCCAACGCACGACGAGCTCGAGTGGGTGCCAGGATCGGATCGGCGAGAGGAGAACCCGGAGGCTGCTGCGCAGCGCAAGAAAGAGATCGCGGAAGGAAAACGGCTGGGAATCGATCCCGCACCGAACGATTCTTTCAAGGATCCCGAGCCGCCCAAGCCGGAACATGGGGACCTTGCTGCCACGACCTTGGGAGCCGCAACGACAAGGCGCCGATCCCGATCCCGATCCACGTCCCCCTCCGCCTCCCCCCGTCCCCCAATTCGTCAACGTGTCAATGAGGGGCTCAGCCCTTCGTCCCCGATCCATATATCACCATCCCCTTATCTATCTGTCTTTCAATCAGTATTTCCATCGCATCGTCTACCCCCGTAATCCCTTCCCCATCGCCACCTTCCGACATTTCTACTCCGCCCGCTTAGAACTGACTGTCCACCCCCACCCCTCCGTCCGGTGTGCTGTCCCCGACTACTCCCTCCACGTTCTTCTCCTTAGCACCGCGTGGCGAGGCCGTAACCATATAGAGGTTTACTGCATCGTTACGGGGACCTTCCCCGCGTGCGAGAACCATGATCGGTTCCGCACAGACGTCCTCCGAACCCTCGTATCCCTTTACCCAGACTACCTCGCTTCCCTTCCCCGCAGTGGCCAGAGATTCCCCCGCTTCCATCGCATTGTCCGTTTTCAAGAACTTCCCTACGACCTCACTCCGATTGGGCACTTCATACCCGAACTTACGATGGAGCCGCCCCGCCCTCCCTCATACACGTATCGCCTTCCCTTCCCCCTTCCGGTTAATTACTGATGCAGCGGTAATGGACGCGTGTCGCGGCAACGGCACGAGAAAGATCCCATCCTTGGATCGTCGAAGAGCCCAATATGAGGAACTAGTAGAAGAGCAGAGTTGCCACGTTGGATGACGTCCACACGCAATCGAACGGTAAGTGGCATAAAGTGAAGTGCTCCGCGTGTCGGTCGATTAGAGAAATCGACACGTGTCAACAAGCAAGTAGGAGCTTGCTAATATTGGAACCCCCTGGGCGTCACATATGTGACGAACCACTTTTTGTAACGCGCGAGTTTCTGCGCGGTTGCAACGAGGGGTCCGAAGCTGGGAAGATTGGGCCACTTACGGGAAATCGGGATCGGTGGAAAATTGCATCAGTACCCTTGCTTCTTCGTCTTTTTCGTCGCTTCTTCGGGGCCGGGTGTGTCCTAGGACGGCTGGTGGGAAGATTGGTCAGATGGATGTCTGGCGCGCCACCACGCCCGCAATTAATAAATGTTGACGTCGTTCCTTTCATTTCGGGTTCGATCTTTTGGGCGCGGACATCGCGCGGGAAATTGCTTCGTTCTTTTGAATTTTCTTTTGAATCTTTTTCGAATTTTGTCGAGCCCCGATGGCTCTCCGGATTTTGGACTTTCTTTCTGGAATGTATGTTTTTTTTTGCTTTTCCGCATTAGATAGGAATTTAGGAATTCAGTAATTATGACTTTTTCCTGCCGCACTGCGCCTTTTGTCTACGCGCTTTTTCATGCGGCTGTAACGGTACTCTGATTAGTGGGCGCCCTTAATCGCGTGTGTAACTGTAATTTTGGACGGGCACCCTTGTAACTGTATCTTTCTTCTTGCACTTTGTCTCTCCCCCCCTCCCTCTCTTTCTTTTGCTTAAATTTTGTAAGCCGCGACTTGCATGCTCGGATCGACGTGTGGAGAAGGGCTACGTCCCCCACGCCGCGGCCGATCATGCAAAACGCAGGCGTTCCCTCTCTAATCCTCACTCTAAGTCCTGGTAATTCTGTGTTCTTCGCGCATGCATGCGCGCTATAAATTTCGACTGCGCGATTAGTCAGCTCTCTTAACCCGTTAGTGGAAGCTCGGGGTTGCGCGATCAGGAAGGGTCGGCACACGAGCGAAGCAAGAGGTGAGTAGAGTAGGAGTTGGGCGACCCGACGGGCTGGTGCCGAACGATCGGGATTGACGTGGGCCACGACGGACTGTGGGCACGGGCGAATCCGACGGGTGCGGGAGGACTAAGCGGGGTGACAACTTCGTGGGTTGGTGCGTGACGACGGACTGTCCGCATCGGGGAGAGAGAGAGAGAGAAGGAGAGAGAGTTGAGGTCGATGGGCGTGGATTTGCTGTTTCTTTGTCTCTTCCCCCTCTTCATCTGTGTACATACATTTTGATTACGACTCCGGGCGGTTTGCCCGTTCTCATTTTCGTTTTCGGCTTTCGGGAATCGAGACTTGGGTTTTTGCTCACACCTGTCCTCGCTTCTTCTCCATCTCGATTGCGTGACGTGTATGATTGTTGAATGAATGGATGTATGGATGATATGCTTGCGCATCTATATCACTACTGAGAATCTCGGTCCTTACCTTTTGTTTGTGTCAAACCTCTGCTCACGCTTGATGCAGCTGTAGTTGGGATGAGGATCTGGCACCGATAGCGATTTTGTCCTCGTTTTTGCTTATCTCGCGCTGGGGGTTGTGATATGTTCGCATCTTGCATAATCCGAAGCAATTAAACGATATGAGGATTGACCTCACGAATGCCGCGCGAGAACACGTGTGAACGCGATCCAAGTCGCGCCCTTACACGCGTTCCCGTGCGTCGATCCGCTCCCCCAAAAAGATTCGCGGTGGAACCGTCATCCCGCACAAGCGCGCTGAGGCGCCACTGAGGTTGCCTGCCCTGCGCGTACTCGTGCGTGATGACGACATCCCTCCCAAGCGGACCCATCCACAATGATACCATGACGCGATCTTGGAACTCAGACTCATCCTATGACCCGGACTATTTCACCCCTATGATAAACGAACTCATAAGGACGCGGTACCCCTGTCACACGGAGAATCGGCTATGTCCGTGGGAATTTCACTGCGCCACCTCTAGTGACCCTCGGTGCTCCGATTTCCCTTCTCCCGACCACACCTACTACTTCACAGTCTTCACCCACCCGGGATTTGTTGTCGTCACCACCAGTTTCCCTCCTTTCCGCCTTCTTCTTCCGTACCATCAACTCAGTGTTGTCCCGTGGCCAGCCATAACCCCCTATTGGCCCGACACGTTTTGTGTGAATTGCCGACATAGCGGCGAACAGAGAACTCCGGAATTCCATAGGCCCAACCCAAGCACGCGGCGACCTGCACCACGTGACGGCCCCCGACGGCCTAACTTTTTGGGACCGCCTCCACCACGGAGGGATTTCCCCGTAACCCGTCGACCACAGTGTCCCGGCCCCTTCGGACCATGAGACCCTTGCGCGTGCACCCCTCATTCGCCTAGTTGCATTCATACCCTTAAGACTCCCCCACTTTCCCGAAAATCCTTGGCACACCCCTTTTTGCACTTCCAGGCCCACATCCCACTCCGATCAGGAAGTCGCGCTGGGCGTGAGGTTGGGCGTCACACTCCAACCTATCTTCGAGAAGAGCATACAGATCTTGACCCTCATCCTATCTGCATCCAATACTTACTACTTCCATACTACTTTCAAAAAATTGAATCTACCGCTTTCTATTCTACTTACAAAAATTGTCCGATAACAAGAGCGCAATCATCTTCCACATCCGGTTTTGACCGCGGGTGTAATTCCTAAGTGCCCTACCGAACCAATGTCTTGGGTAGTTCTTCCTCCTGCGCAGCTCTGATCGCACAAAAACCAGAGTTTCAACCATTTCCATGCCCACACAAGAGTTCTGATCAATCCTGTCAAGGCGCCAATGGTTACAGCCATTTTAGTCTGCTTGCATGTACATGATTCAAAACCTTGAAAGGTACGGAATGGAAGGGTCCCTGTTCCGAAGCTGCTGATCATTCTTCAAAACCTACACAGTACCCAAGTATGGGAAATTCTCACGGATCGACAACCTGCATCCGAGGAAATTCCAGCTATCCTCACCCTCGTCAGTATGCTTCAAGGTTAGCCTGGTTGTAACAATCCTTTAAGCGGTCCAATACTCGCTCAACTCTAGCATTATCCTCATCCAACTGTGAATTATATGCCGCAAATACAGACACATTGTCAACAAATCTCAGACCCGCAAACAAACGCTTTTGTCCCCCGAGCGAAATCAGGGAGTCCCATTCGCTTTTGGCACACATCAAGCAGGCGAATGGGGGGCCCGAACTCTTCCCCATTGGGATCCCAATCACCTGCTGCATCAATATCCCACATGCTTCTCTAAAACAAAAGTCCAATTCAAAATCAACAACGGAAATCGGATACTTAAAGGATACAAAGACAACTCCATCAATCCGTTGACATCCACCCAACCTACCACCACGACCTCTCTTCTTGACGAACACCCCCTCATATCCTTTCTCGGCAAACCACCAAATGACCTATTCAATCGCCGCCTAGACTGTCGCATGCGGCAAGCGACTAAACGTATCCTTAATATCAAAGGATGCTCCCAAATTCTAAAGTTCTGCTTAGACTTACCGAAACAATTATTAATACTATGCAGGCTCTCTTTCATTGATGACACAGACTTCAGGTTTAAATAACTTGATTCCGGAAAAGAGTACAGCAAACAGTTTAGCCTTCGCTGCTACTTTGCATGCCTGGACTGAGGGTTCGTTGAACGTAGGACAAATAGGACGGTATCTATCCGTATCCTTGTGCTTCGGTAGTGCATAGGCACTTCCGATACCGCCCCTCATATTCCATTTACCCTGACTATTGAGACCCCGTTTCTCATACTCGATTCTAGCCAACTCGAGCAAGCGCTCCTCTTCATCCGCGCAAACTATGAAACCATAACTCAACAAGAACGTGTCCTCCATGCGCTTCTCATACAACCGTGGGCACATAACCATAGTACCGTCGTGGATTCGATCTAGTGGAGCCAAGTCCTCTCATCTTCTCCCGAAATTCCAATATTTCGCCGAGTCCATCCGCATGACCCTGGCTGCTGCTATGAAGGATGCATCCATCAGTATCCTCCTTCGAGAAGCTCAGGTCCTCAGTCGTCAACCTCGAGGTGCTGCTCCAGGACTGAAAAGCTTCGGTCAACTCGACAACTAACAGACTATCTCTCTCACCGACTTCACACCTCGACACATTCTTGGCATTTAATGCAATGTGAGGTACACAGTCGAGTTCCGCAATCCGAAAATGCACGTGCCCATTCCTCTTTGGGTAAAAGGCAACTTCGTCAAAACGGACATATTATATTTTTTGAACAAAATTGAAATTGAGTTTTTGGGCCGAAATCCAGTCCAAATTTTTAGCTCCGAAGGGTCCAGCGTTCGTAGAACGTCGGACCCCCTAGATGTATCTGACCTCAAGCAGAGACCAGATACATCTAGGGGGTCCGACGTTCTGGGAATGCAGAATCCCAGGAGCTAAAAATTTTGACCGGATTTTGGCCCAAAAACTCAATTTCAATTTCGTTCAAAAAATATAATATGTCCGT